TTCCGTGCAGTTTGGCAAGCACGTACGGTCCTCGCGACTGCCATCTTACGATTCCTGCATCGCTTTCGTCACCAATATCTTTCTATTGCGGAATCCTGTTCGATGAAACCGGCTAAATTGTATCACGCGATGCAGATTGCCTCATTCGGACTCGAGTGATCTCGCTCTACGGGCTTTGAATCGAGGCTATTTTGTGGACGAGATCATAAGCCTCTCCGTCGGTCTGTGAATTGGCATTGTTTGCATCAAATTGCGTCACGAGATTTCTCCTTTGCCTCAGCCGAGGGGCAATACAAAGTGCTTTACCCTTGAAAGGCCCAACACTTCACTTACGATGCATTCGAGTCTAAAGGTGGATTTTTGAACAGAGAACGATCCGATAATGCTGCTTTATTTCCAGGAAATATGCATTTTCGCAGGAATAAAGCTGCATTATCGGATATTTCTCTGTTCAAAAATCCACCCTAAAACACAATAGTCTTGCTATTTTCTTTTAGAAATACCACCGATGAAAAGGGCTATTGCTTTATTTCATTTAACAGAGTAAGCTTGTGTTTTGTCGTTTTTAAATTTATTTGTGAATTAAAAAAATTGTTTGAAATGTATCTATTTTTTTAAATAGAAAAAATGGTTCGCATTCCTTCTCACCCGAGTCAAGGCGGATTTAAGAAAAGTAGCAAGATGCAAAGAGTACCTTGTTCATATATTTTCCTAATAACTTAATTTATTTCCTATTTGATGAAACCCAGATTTGATCGTTCCCCCTTTAGCAACCTCGTCAATACCACCTCATCGTTCTCATTAAATTTGATGACCTATCGTCCAATTGTTTGTTGCGACTGAACTGCTGCAGTTAATTTTTCTATTTTATTTTACATTCATTGCATTAAAAAATATCAGAATTTAGGCTCCATTAAGACAGGACGCAAGTCTTCATTCAGAAACTCTTCTCAGAAGGAATGGGGGGGGGGGGAGGGTACGCGTTCGAGCCGGCTTCTCGAACGTGCAAAGTTTGCGAACCTCAAAGTTAAGGCAAGGTCGCAGTCTATTCGGGTCTTATGTTTACGTTAAAACTGAGAACTGGGACTAGCCTTGGATATGGAGCTCATATGAGCCTCACTTCCGGCCGAGTTACGCCATACGGACAAAAATGCCATGGATTAGGCTTTGCCAAAGTCGTATGAAACAGGAGAGCACGCGCAGTCGTTCGAAAACTCCCTCCGTTCCATCCGATCCTAATATGGCGGGCGAGCTCGGACCGTCCCTAATTCATGCCCGCTTCAGGTATATACTCTCTATGACAGGGGCCTTATGGAGTCTGTTTGCCGGCCGTGGCATCAGTGACGTACTTCTGCATTGACGTCATCCATTCCTCATCCTTGAACTCTCCGTCCTCGAGGAGTCAGTTCTCCCCTCTTTCTCCCCCCCCCCCTCCCTCCTTCTTCTCCACTTCTTATTTATCAATAGGTTGTCGTGTTTTTGTCGGCATTCGTAGAAGTGCTCGGCATGGCACCAGTCGTGACGCCTGGGGAATACACGAAAACTCACTCGGCCGCATTGCGTCCGATGCATTATGAACATCCAGGGGACTCGGTGAAGGTGCTCTGTATCCTTCAATCAATCGCAAGGGATTATTTTTCGGGATCTGCAGAAATAGCGCTCTGGAGTCGACTTCCCAAATATTTATACATTCCCGAAAATAATAATAGGATACGGGAAATGATGGAGATCCCGAAATGCTGATAAATTCGTCCCATGTGTGTCTGAGAAAGTACCCGATCGAGAAACGAGAGAACGTTTCCATTACAGTTTCTCTGGGAGGCAATCAGGGGCTCATTGAGACTGTGGTCGCTGCCATCAGTTGCTCACCCATGCTCACCATGGTAGGCTTTCCGAATAACTGGCGTCGATCAGACGCTCGAACGAGTCGGTGCGATCGTTTCGTCTCGGAATGGCTTCGCTGTTTGATACGTAGCGATGACAGAATCGAGTAGTGACTCGAGGGAACACGAAAAAGAAAGGAGTGGTGACGCAAGTTTTTTTCTGCGTAGCCACGGACGCGTCATTGTGTCTTCATGGGATTTTTAAAAATAGTCTCCTTTATTCCCTGTAATGTAATATAGTGAACCTTTATTGCTCTCATGCGGCTTTTTACAGACCTGTTTTACAACCTTTTATTTTACAACCTGTTTTTATTATTATTATTATTATTATTATATTTGTTTACGTCAAATATCACTGGCTTCTTTGCGTAAACTCATGTTTGTAAATTTGGATAAGTCGTGATGTTTACGCCATGCCTGACGAATTCCAGCCGTTTTGTATGTTTCTCTTTGACAGTCGCATATAAACGTCAGATTCATTTGTTGCGGACATAGACGATCTGAGCAGAAGAGCAACATTTTAGGAGCCTTTTCCCTTTCGCTTTTTTTCTTCTTTCCGTCTCTGATCCACTGTCGCCAAACCTCTCGAATGAAGGAAATGCCCGTATCCAGCTCCATCGCTGCCCAAAGCGCAAGACCGGCTCTGTAGTCTTAGCTTGCAACTGCGAAAAATTTATCTGGAGAGAAGCCAACCTGAAGCCAGCTTGAAGCCAGCAAACATTCATGAGCTTACACTAGCATTGCGAAACTTCCGGCTGCGCATGCTGAGGCCTTCGAGCTAATTCATCTCGTTTTAATTAATTTAATTACCTCTGAAAACTGCTGAAACCGAGAGACTCTTCCACCGTGAAGAGAGTAAAAAATGAGTTACGGACCGAGCGATCTGTCGTTGTCCCCATCACTAAGAGAACGCGAAGGAAGTAATTGATGAATTGCAAGTTCGTCGCTGCCTGTTGCTGCGGTTGATCCAATCGGTTTCGTGGGTCTTAAAACAGTTTGCTCCGTGGCCTTAACCAGAGAACTTTTGTGAATCTACTTTATGCCTCTCGAGCTTTCATTTCAGAGATTTCCTGCTGCCGAGTGTATCCATGAGTGTAGTTTCATCTAATTAAATACAAATCTTGTTGCAGCCAGCTTTATATTACAGTGGAGCGAGGATTTCTGGCGCAGATTTAATTTCTCGAAATCCTACAATGTGGCATTTTATCGCTTTGCGACTTTTATGGTGATTTAGTTTCGCTATCCATTATGCCTCGTGAAATTTAAACAGAAGTTAAAATTTAACGCTGAACTTTTTTTTCAAGTTGCATGGCTTCTTGCCCCCCCCCCCCCCTTTTGCACTTTTACCAAATGATGTCCCTGTGCATAGCCTATTCCTATGAAATAGGAACTTTCCTCAATTTCCATTCCCATCATGAGGAGTTCCAGTTCCATATTTAATTAAGGAACTCCTTTTTGTCAATACGTTTTGTGCAATTAATACTACCCCCTCCCCCCACTTAAATTGATGCATTTAGTTTACCCTTTGAATATTCATCCTTTGCTCTTGCGACTCTAATTGATTTCGTTATAAACTACTACGAGCTTCCAAACCAAAGTTCAAGTCCTCCTTAATGCTGCTCTTTTTGAGTGCATAAGGCGTTTTCGTGTCTATAAGATTTAATGTGATGACTATCTGCTCCTTATGTGCGTCATGACTCTTCGGCGTATGCACGAGCGTAGCGCGGATAGAAAAGGAGAGGGGGCACGTGCCCCCTTTGGCGCCCCCGACGCTACGCCGCTGGGCGCACGTCAACGCGCGAAATTCCCACTCTCCACCAATACGAGAACTGGTAACGATTGAGTTGAAGGCTTCCTTGATCACCATCAGAGAGAGAGAGAAATGGGGGGGGGGGGTGGGAGGGAGAG